TACTCATTTTAAATGGTAAAGCAGTGAATTTAGCCAATTTGCAACCAGCACATGACTCAATACTAGAACTAGATGATACAGGACCAAGTACTCCAGACTGAATAAGACTCTCCAGCCTTTTATTACACACATGACCAAGTCGTCTATGCCATAAATTGGTAGGAAGCGAGGTAGAGGGTTTTGACGAACGAAGAGAAGCAACAAGAGAACGTGGACGTATGGACTCTGGAAGGTGAAGATATTCCAGAAAATACAGTTTGTGCCTCCTACGACCCGCCCCAACCGTCTTGCCCGTCTGTGGATCCTGCACAATAAAAGTATCAGAAAAAAATGAGACAAACAAGCCCGTCATGCATAAAGAGCTAATAGAAATTAAATTCAAGCACAACTGAGGAGCCACATAGACGGGACCAAGTGTTAGACTACCAGATGGATCATTTTGTGGGGGTAATAGAGCCATACTGAGTAATGGACAATGGTTGTCCAGCAGCTGTGTAGATAGGAGGAAGAGAGGATGAAGTAAAGACAGAGGATAAAAGTGAGGCATTACAAGTCATATGAAAGGAACAACCAGAGTCAAAAATCCAGAGATCATTCATACCAGAGACTGAAGGATTAGCTGAAGAACCAGCAAAATGCATACCAGAGAGTTGTGCGGCGGATGTAGAGGTGATATGTTGAAAAGCATCAAGTTGACGGCGAAGACTTTCAATAGCTTGAATAGTAGAGTCTGAAGTAGTAGAAGGTATAGCATTGGCCAACAATCCTGGTGTACGAGAGGGTTGAGACTGAGGGGGTCGCCGACCACGTCCAGTACCTGAGGAACGTAACTCAGGATGAAGCTTGAAGCATGTCTCAATGCGGTGTCCTTCCTTCTTACAATATTTGCAAGAGAGCTTAGATCGAGCCTGTGGAGAGGGAGCCTGTGGAGAAGTATAATTCATAACAGGAGCAGTGACAGGTACAGACAAAACAGTCTCGAGTGAAGAGGTAGGAGTGTCTGTTGACAAATTGAGTCGTGTTGTCTGCTGCCGGGTCTCATAAGCAGTGAGAGCTCCCATAACTGAGGCCAAAGTCGGAAATTGAGGCTGATGAAGTAGTTGATCAACCATAGTTGAATACTCAGGAAGGGACTGAAACAGTTGATGCACCTCATGCCGTTCGTACCAGGCTAGCCAGTCTTCATATGTGGACTTACGTCCAGGAAGCATGGAGCGTAACTCTGTCCAAAAAGCTTGCATTTGTCCAAAATGGGACTGCAGAGATGAACTACCTTTGCGTTGTAGAGAAATGCGTTGCAGAAGATATGCCTCCCGTGCACCCGAGCACTCAGTGAAACGCTCAGTGAGACGAGTCCACATGGCCTGAGCAGAGGGAAGCGAGCCAATCTCGACAGTGAGACCAGAGCCAACACAGCGAGTGAGATAATCCATAACACGAAATTCCTGCAATTGCCACTCTGAACTCTCCTTGACATAGAGAGCACGAGCAGTCTGAAGATCGACATCACCACTGCCAGAGGCAATAGTACTGGATGAAGCAACAGTGCTGATGGACGGTGGAACTGGTCCCGTACTGGTGAGATGATCAAGCAAACCAGCGCCACGCAAGGCATTGGTGACAATGGTGGACCACCCTGCCCAGTCACTTTGATCATTGAGGGGCAAAGGTGGTTTGGGAATCTTCTCTGAAGGAGCCATAACAACAATGTTGAGACGTTAAGATGTCGAGATGCCGTTACTGACTGCGAAACGGCAATGCCGTTCGTTTGAGGCCGAGAGACGGCTTGAAACGACGATGCCGTTAATTTGAGACCGAGAGACGGGCTTGAAACGGTAATGCCGTTAAAATAGAACCCGAAGGTTAGAATGAAAACCCGAAGGTTTAAACGAGAACGCGAAACACGTTAAGAGGCCGCAAAGCGACAAGGCTAAAATATCTGGCAGAAAAAAAAACATTAAACGGCTGCAAAGCAATAAGGCCAAGATTTGGCAAAAGAACGCAGAAGCGTTAAAAAAATAATTTATTGGAAGGGAAATAGCCCTATCTCTGATACCATGTTAAAGTAAGAGAGAGAGAATCTTGGGTAAATTTCCCTTGAATTGAATATTGAGTATGCACATATATTTATACAAGTAGAGGAGTGTGAGGTTTGTTCTCCCAAGCAATGTGGGACTAAAACCCACTACAATACACTATTATCAACACTGCTGATTGGAGACAAATGTTACAGTTCAATCAAAGGTAGACTTCATTTGCTGCATTTTGAAATGTTCCGAACTTCCGAGTATTCACATTCTAGTACAGAAACTTTTTACATTACCTCTATCTGTATTTGTATCCATAAGATGGAGACTTTATTTCCATATTTGTAAAAAAAAAAAGTGAAAATGGATGGACACGTGGACATGCAGACACTGCCACCGTCTACATGAGTAAACCCATTCACTTCGCTCTTATTTTCCTTCAAACTGGAATGCCTTGTAAGCGTCTAATAAAGTCATTTGCAAGGCGGCACATAGCCCACAAAAAGCACGAAACCTCTATTACATATGAAGTTCTTTGTTTTAATGCATGAGGAGGTGTCAATCTTCAGATATTGAGTGTCTGTAGCTTAAAGGAAGCACATAATGGCTAAAGGCCAAACATAACCAATTGTTGTGTTTTGCAGATGGTGCACTATAACTCTGGTGGGCTTCGATTGAATCCTAATTTGTACGAGTCAGGAAAAGTTTGCTTAAGCCTTCTGAATACCTGGATGGGATCTAGCACAGAAGTATGGGATCCAGAAAGTTCTACCATTCTGCAAGTTCTGTTATCCCTTCAAGCACTTGTTCTCAATGACAAGCCATACTTCAATGAGGCTGGCTATG